TTGTCTCTGGACTCAAATAGCTTACATTCTAATAAAGAGCTTTTAAAAAGTGAATTTTACAATATGATATAGAATGTAAATAGCCTTTGGAGGGTGAGCTTGGTTCATATCTTGCCATCTTGCCATGTGACTTGAGGAAATCTACTCAACTTCTCTCAGCCTGTTTCCTTATCTGTCAAATGCCTTCCTCAGGAGCCTTATTTTGAGGAGTCAGTGCAATAATATAAGTACCTTGCATTAGGCTTTGTTCAGGGTACTCAAGAAAAGTTAACTTTGTTTCCCCCATCACTGCTTTAAAAATACATCGAGATAATCTAACTAGATGAATGAATTTCCCTACAGTCCTTTTCAGGACTCATTGATTCCTATACTCTTGTTCTGACATGGGGCCTGATGCAGCAGCTCTGGAAAATGCCATATATAATGAGAAATGGCAATGGTACAAGGAAAAGGATTGCTCTTCTTTCTGCAGCTCATTTGTTCTTCATTGACCATCTTGTTTTCCACTTTTCTACCTACTGGGTGATCTTAGGCACCTTAGTTACCTACTATCTCAGAGCCTTGGTATCTATAAAATGAGAATAAAGTCCTTCTCTCATTAGATGTTGGAAAGATTCAGTGGGATGATATGCTAACACACCTCACAAGTGTTGGGATCACAGTCTGTGCCCAAGAAATGGGCATTAGTACAATCCATGCATGACTCACAAAATCATTGTCAAACAGGAGAGTAAATTATCACCATCCACATGTGACTAGAAGGTGAGTTGCTGAAATTCAGTGTCATTGGAAGACAGAGCAATGGACTTCTACTACTCCTCTTTTTAAAGTAAAATTTCAGTAAACACTCCTATCTCTGACTTTGAAGGAGCCCTTAGGGAACCCTTGGTACTTTGGAGACTCAGCAGCTTCTCATAAAGGGAATGTGGGAAACCAATGAACAAACAACCAAATCAGAAGCAGAAAACATTGAAAGGGAAGAATACCAGGTGTGATCCTGGCATGATCAATAGAGCATATTTTGCCTCTAAGCATTTTTTAAATTTTACAATAGTTCATTTACCATCAGATCTGGGCACAGCTGACATTCTAAATTGGAATGAATATTCTCTGAGTCCAAACTGATGGTTCATATTTGAATTAAATGACAAAGGAACCACTTTTATTTTTTTTTTTTATTATTTATTTATTTATTTATTTATTTATTTATTTATTTTTAAGGAACCACTTTTAAATGCAGTGTTCTGATTTTCTGTGAACTAAAATATCACTTTACCAAATTTTTAAAAAACATTTTATTTATTTGACAGAAAGAGAGACAGCGGACAAGCCAGGGGGGAGAGGCAGAGGGAGAGGGAGAAGCAGGCTCCGCATGAGCAGGGGAGCTCTATCCCAGGACCCTGGGATCATGACCTGAGCCAAAGGCAGACGCTTCACCAACTTAGCCCCTCAGGCGCCCCTCCAATATTTTAATGATTGATAAAATGGCAAACAAAACTACATCCATTTCTTCTGGACTCATTTTTACCCCTACTATATATCTCAGTAGCAGTGTTTTTAATCTTTGAGCCACATAGCTCTTTGAGACTCAGATACAAGCTGTGGAATCCCTCTGTGCTATTCCTACCACCCAAATTCCCACAAACATGCCTAATTCTAAAAAGACTTGCAGATATCCTAAAGCCCATGCTTGGAGATTAGCAACTCCTTCTTCCATAGCAAGTTCTAAAGTTCCTACTGACTTGAGTCTTTATATCTGACTGCTGATTAGACTCCAAGGCTCTGTGGAATTCACAAAAATTGCCAGTGAATTTGAACTGGAACATCATGATCCACAGCCCACCAGGTGATTTAATTAACACAGAGAATAATTAGAATGTGTCTTCTGGGTGCCTGGCTGGCTCAGATGGTGGAGCATGCAACTCTTGATGTTGGGGTCATGAGTTCAAGCCCCCTGTTGGGCATAGAGATTGCTTAAGAAAAAACATTTTTCTTTAAAGATTATCACTATTCTTTCAGGTCACAGATTATTTTGCTAAAGAATAAAGCTGTGATCTGATGTCACCTGCACTGGGAGGTGTGGACACTCAAAGTGGTTCTATGACCCTTGTAATCCTCTTCCACTTGCCTTTGCTAAAGCAGTCACCTTTTGGTCCCACACCCTTTGTGGCTTCCCATCCACAGCTCGGTTTCAGGGCCTCTCCTCTGTGCTCTCACTTGTCAGGAGCATAGTACTTACCACCTGGTACTGAAATTATCTGCCTTCCTAACCAGATATGAGCACCCCTTGTCCACACCCCAGGTTTGGACTTTTTCTGGTGCATTGTAACCACAGCTCTCATGTATTGAGGACCTCTTGTGTACTTAACACTATACCACACTTGGTAAATGCTACCTTATTTAATAACATCTGAGAAAAATGACCTAAGTTGAGGGGCTCTTCTTACTGGCCCCACCACGACTGAGCCAGCCCCATCGCAGTCCCAGCTAGTGCCCGGGTCTCCTAGCCTATCTTCCTGATTCCTCCCTGTGTAGATCTGTTCAAAATTTAAGTCAGACACTGTCACTCCTCTATTCAAACCTTCCAATGGCCCCCAATTGGTTAGAATAAAATCTAGTGTACTTCCTGGGGTTTAGGAAGTCCTATTGATCTTGCCCCTGGCTACCTCTGACTTCCTCTCCTATGAATTTCCCTCTTGTTCTGCGTAGCCACCCTGGCTGCCTTGATGTTCCTCAGGCCAAGCAAACTCTTACCTCAGGGCCTTTGCACTTACTGTTCTTCTTCTCAGTGGTGTGCTGATAACTATTTACCAAATAGTTCTGGGGAGGGGGGCGGTTCTTGGAGCAATTGCTAACTTCTGTGTATAAATGCTCTCATTAAGGCTGATTGCAAACTGTAGGGATGCGCACATTCAGCACAAGTACAAGTCAGTGCCGGCACACCATTATCTCTCCTCGCAATTCTTTCCCTATATACGACCTCCTGACTGGCAGCCTCACTTCCTTCACATCTCACCTCCAATCTCATCTCAGTAGAGACAGATTTTCTAGCATCTATGTCCCCACATTCATACCTCATCTGCCTTGTCACTATTTATTCTTCTTAACTTGCATTATTTTCATAGCACTTATCTCAACCTGGCAGATTTACTTATCGTCAGTCTCTCCCCAACAGAATGTAAACTCCATGAACAGGTGCTTGGCTGCATCTGCAATGCCTAATATGTAGAAAAATTTCAATAAATATTTGATTTCAAATGAAAGGCGTTAAGTAACCCACCCAAATCAGACAGCTATGAAGTGGCAGGACAGGCATTCTAAGCAGATTAGGTAGGTGGTCTTAACCAAGCAGGACGGCTTTTGTGGCCAATGCTTTAATCAGGGCCCAAGTAGTGGACAGCAGCACACACTGAACTTCTGTCATTGTCCGCAAAAACTGTGGAAGTGCCTAGAGACAAGGTGAGAAGCCAAACTGGTTCCCCCACACCTGCCCTCTAGGAACGTAAAAGCTGTAGAGGGGAACCTGTTCTAAAGGAGATTCTCAGACATGAGACATGGTGGGGCGATTATCATCACGATTACACAACTAATACCCAAGGGGATTTTAAAAATGATTAAATAATACCTAATTATGTAAAAATACATAAAATAGAAAGGTAAGTTTCAACCATCAACTCTCCACACAGAAAGAACGTGATTTTTCCAGATTTTTCTATGAACATATATTTTACAGAATTAGCAAAATACTGTACATAACTTTGACCTTTTTGCAATGAACAATATGCAGGCATCTTTCTATGTCAATAAACATACTTCTTATGTTTGGTGGCTTTAATTCAACTTGTTCTCTATTGGTGTACGTTCAGACATATGTTGGACATAGTTGGTCTTTGCTATTTTAACTTTGCGACCTTATGCAGAAATTTGTGAACAATGGTGTTAACTAGGATAAATTCTGAGAATCAATAATCTTACTAAGTTCCCCCCAAATTCTTGCCACCGTTGTGCATTATTCCCACAGCATGGGAATCCCTCACATTTACTGAGCTCCATCTAAACAACATGCTGTGTTGCAGCTCATTCATTTCTTACCAAAACCCCATGACAGAGGTTATGACCCATTTTGCATGTGGGGAAACAGAGAAGTGGCTAGGCCAAAGCTTTGGGGTCTGTGCTTGTGACAGAGCAACTGGTAGCCCACAATGTGACTGGCTCACAGAAACCTGGCTTCACCACTCACCTATTGTGAGACGTCAGGAAATGTAGCAGCTCCAGGCCACTTTTCTCATCTGCCAAGTGAATATAAGCAGAATTATCTCGTTGTTTTTTTTTTTTTTTTTTTAAAAAAACACTTAGGAGATTCACTGTGTCACAACACAAATCTAGTGACAGTTCCATCTGCAGAGTTATTTATGCAGTGACTTCACGATGCCCCCTTGTTCCACCTTGCTATCTTGGACGTGCAGGTCCAAGACACATGCAGTTTCACGGCCACTAGACAGGACTCCCAGGAATCCTATCCAGGCAAAATATGCAATCCTTTCCTCTAAAGAAAGGAGCCACGTCTTCATGGGCCTCTCTTTAGGAATGAAAAATACTTTCCTTTACAAAAGTACAATAACAAGACTTTGCTTACTATGCCTCAATAGGAGAGTGTGTGTCACGTGCTCAATCCCAATCCAACCACTGGCAGGGTTTTCCCATGACCGAGTTATGGGGAGTCGACTACAAAGATTCCAGCATTAAACTTTCTGGAAAAGTCTACTGATCATAATTACCCCGTCTGTTTCTGTAGGATCGAGAACCACTGACGTTTAAGATGAATGACTTTACTGACATAAAGAGAGAAAGAGTAGTTTAATGAACATTTATTGTACATTTAATCAAGTGAAAGGCCCCATCCTAGGCTGAGGGAAATACAAGTGAAGATAAGATTCAGCACTCCACCCCCATCTTTCCAGAGTAGTGGATACAGGTACAAGCTACTTTGTAAGGCAGGCTTTTTTTTTTTTTATAAGTACCATATTTAATGCACAATTAAAATATTGTGGGAATGGACAGGAGATTCACTCAGAATGAAATTTTTGCTTCAAAGACCATTGCACCTGATTTTCTGATTTATAACTGTCACAGACAGTTCCTTAGCAGGAACAGAACTGCCTGTCCAAATGGCTGCCACGTCTCACACCCAAGCACCGGGCAGAAAAAGCACAGGTCAGACTAACCAAAGCACAACAGTGATTTACTTTCCAATGCACTGAAGGGCAAACTGTTGACAGACAAAACAGCTTTTTAATTAAGGTGTAACATGCACACAGCAAAGTGCAGGAACGAATGTGAAATTTGTGACTCAACACATTTTTATATATGACTGAGTGGTGGTAACACAAATGGACTTGAATTTAGTTGACTTCCTTCACAGTACAGACAGGCTTGATGTGGTACACAAGACAGCCATGGCAGGAGGGAACTATTAAAATTCTATACACTAGTACATATTTCTAGACTGACTGGTCTCTCACCAATCACTCAGCATATTTCCACTTGGATATGTATTTCCTGTGAAGTTACACCTTCATACCCTACTGCGTGGAGCAGCCTACCATGGCTTAAAGTTCCCTATATACCCTCATATACCCATTAAGTCACTTAACACATTATCCAGAGCCTAGTTGGTACTATCCACCACGCTAAGTAGTGAACCAAACAAATGCAACTAACTCTTCCCACGCGTAGCATAAGATATTAGCTGGTAGGAGCTGATCTTTAACTATTTACACCAATAACACATCACAGTTATGTTTGGTGCTACTAAATAGAGGACAATAACGTTTCCAGCTGAAGAGTCTCATTTCCAGATCTGTTCGTTTCAGAGTACTAACAAGAGGTCTCGAGCTAATGTGAGGAGTAGAAAAAAGGTAAAAGAGAGCCCTAAAACATTAGGGGACAAATGTCATCAGCTCAACCTACTTAGAAATGGTCCTTTAAATTCTCAGGCCTATATCCTGAGCAAAGTCAGTCCCTTGGCAGATGAGATCTGAAACAAATTTAATAAGGTCAAGAATGAGGCAAAAAGGCACCTGCAGCATAGGATAATTTTGACCTTTGAAAGGGAAAAAGCAACTGTTACATTTTTTTGTACCACACCCTGTTGTTTCTGCGATGTCCCTTATTTTCTATATTTGAGAGGTTTTAAACTGTGGGCAACCATCTAGAAGAGTTTTAATAGCTGAAACAAAAATCTGCCTTATGAAAGAGAAGGAAAAACAAAAAACAAAGAAAGCATGAATTTTTCTAACCAGTAAATTCTCTATACACTGAGTGGCTGCAGAGTCACCAACAGTGGTGAAGCCACAGAGCGCCAAATTTCCGGCTCAACCTGGCAAGGACTTTTCTGTTTTTTAATGAAAGTAGATACACCTGATGGCAGCTGAATATAAGTAATTCTTTTCTCTGTAAAAAATTTCTTTCTCTTAAAAATTTCTTCCCCATTGAACCCACAGTGATGATTGATAAATAAATTTGACTTTATAATGACCTAAAGAAATAGCCCAGATTGTTTCATTTAAGACAATAAATTTTAAAAAACAAATAAATGATTTGTATTTTTACTTTAAAATGAATTTTTGATTTCTGAAGTCTATGCCAAAGAACGAAGATGCCAAACAAATTCACTCATCACCACACATACAGTTAAGCTTTCTAAATGAAATCTCTTTAGTGTAAGATCAAAGACAGTCTGCTCATAGAAAATCCTCAAATGCTACCTATTCCAGCTCTTTAAAAGGTAGCTTTTGTTTCTCTGAGAAACAAGATACATCTAATGATACATAAAAGCACCACAGATATCTGAAATGCAGAACAACCAGCAAGCCATTATTCTTTTTTCTGCAGAACAAGTAGGCATACATCACCTGTGTCTGAGACCATTTATTTTACTATTTCTATTTTTTTACTGGATGGGCTGTCCAAAACCTCAATCTTGCCTTTTCCATCTTCTGAATGAGGAAGCTTAATGTTATCTATGGTGACTTCAGAAGCAGTGCTATCATCTTCCTCCTCAGATTCTGAGCTGTCCTCCGAGCTGTCTTGCAAACTCTCTTCTGAACTGTCCTCTTCTTTGGAATTGGATTGATTCATCTCAAACAAGGCCACATCCTGCCAAAAGCACCACGTGAGAAATTTATTTCATGGCAGTCCCCTAGAAAGTTGCAATAACCACCTTGGGAAGAATCCACAACATTAAGGGCAAATATCAAAGCACAAAGGGCAAGAAATGTTTTTAATACAATATGGCCTTTTTTTCTTTCAGTTGCCACCCCCCACCATGATGGTTTACAGGTACTACAAGTCTAAAAAGTCCCCCACAACCCAATTCTATACAACCTGAACACATTCAACAATATGCATCCAACAAATATTAACAAATACTAACATGAGCCAGGCACCACACTAGGTTTTAGAGACTCCACCAGAACAGCAACAAAATCCCTGCCTTTGTAGCACTGATATTTTTGAGACAGATTGGCAAATTACAGCTTACAGGCCAAACCCAGCCCACTATCTGTTTTTGTTTAGCTTGTGACCTAAGAGTATTTGTTTGTTTATTTATTCGTTTATTTTCGATTTTATTTTTTTAAAGATTTTATTTATTTATTCATGAGAAACACAGAAAGAGAGGCAGAGGCACAGGCAGAGGGAGAAGCAGGCTCTCTGCGGGGAGCCTGGTGTGGGACTCAATCCCGGGACCCCAGGATCACGCCCTGAGCCAAAGGCAGACGCTCAACCACTGAGCAAACTAGGTGCCCTAAGAGTGCTTTTTAAAATTTTTAAGTGACAGGAAAAAAAAAAAATCAAAGGGATAATATTTCGTGAACCATGAAAATGATATGGTAAGTCAGTAAAACCTGCCTCTTCAAACATATGGTCTACAGCTGCTTTCATGCTAACATGGCAGAAATGAGCAGTCACAACAGAGACAGTATGGCCGACAAGCCTAAAGTATTTACTAGCTGGCCTCAGATACAAAATACTTGCTGACCTCTGTTCTAGTCAGGAAAAAAAGATAATGAAAAACTACATATAAGGTATAGTGTAGGACAAGTTAAAATGAAGAAAAGTAAAGCACGATAGGATAAGCTTCTAATAGGGCCATTGGGGTGACCACTAGTTAGAGAGGGAGGGAGTGAAGATGCAGAAATCTGGGAAGAGACTTGTACAAAGACGGACAAGACCTGGAGCAAGGAGACCAAACGGGAGTGTAGGAAAGAGGGGATGTGGTGGGAGGTAAATCAGATGGAGCTAGAGGCAGGATCCCATGGGCCCCTGAGGGACTCTGAACTCATCAGGAGTGTGATGGGAAGGGTAGGCCACACATAGTGTGAAGAACAGATCATAGGAAAGAAAAGGCCGAAGCAGGGGAACCTGTTGAGAAATCACTGCAGCAGTCCAGAGGAGACCACGATGACATGGACCAAGGGTGACAGCAGGGGACACGGTACAGAGTGCCTGGATCTGGATAAATTCTGGAGGTAGAGTAGGCCAGAGCTGCTGATGAATGAGATGTTACTATCAACCATGCCGTCAGCTCTGTCCAGACGCAAGTGTTATAAAGGGAACTCTGGTGTAGGAAAGGAAATGAGGCTACATGGAGAAGACTTTGCATGTGGCTCAGGTAATCAGTCTGTTAAGTGCATCATTTATTTTTATACTTTCCATGAATCAAGTTATGATTACTTCTTTTAGGAAAAAAACAACCCACTTGGGACACTTAGTAAATTAATGCTTCAAGATAACAAATGTACTATTGACTTGAAAAAGCCCTCCTATTCTCTATTGCTACATTCCTAAACTCCACTCAGGGAAGCTTACTGATCTGTAAGATCCCTGATCATAAAATGATCAGATCCCCATGCAGTACTGGAAATATGAGCGGACTCTGCAAGAAGGAAAAAATAACACTTGGAAGTATACTGGAAAAGTCCTCTCTCTTAAAGATGATGAGGCATACTGGTAATTTTACCCTATGAAATGAAAACAAAGCATCATTACCATTTGTATAACTTTTCCAAGAGCCCCATCAATATCCTCAATATTGAAACGACCAGGTGATGCAGCTGCCATTTCTTTTCTAAGCTTTTCATTTGCCTGAGCCATCTGTGGGAGAAAGGTCTGCACTTGGTCCAACACTAAGGAGAGAAAATATACTTTATCAATATTTATGTCAGTCTTTGGCCAAACATCCAATTATTTTTAAAGATTTTATTTATTTATTTATTCATGAGAGACACAGAGAGAGAGCCAGAGACACAGGCAGAGGGAGAAGCCAGCTCCCTGTGGGGAACCTGATGTGGGACTTGATCCAGGACCCCGGGATCACGTCCTGAGCCGAAGGCAGATGCTCAACCATTGAGCCACCCAGGTGCCCCTCCAATTTCTAAAACCCAGAATTTACTATAAAACACTCCCAAATTCAATAGTAACAATAGTTATAATAAAAAAATTTTTCACATTTCTTCCATTTTAAAAACCTCCATCCTCTTCTGAATCCTTAAAGCAGGACTACACAAGGTAGTGAATATTTCTTAATGTTTATTTGTGCTTTCATATATCCTCAGAACTGTACATTCCTAGACGGCTGGCACTTTGACCAATAGTAACTGAATAAGGAGAAAGTATGGCTTAATAGTTAGATGTTATCAGGTTTGGAGCTGGAGTTTAGTCATTTGCAACCACAGGTGTCCTAAATAGCAAATTTAGTCTAACCATTCAAAGCATCAATTTACTCATCTGTTAAAACAGGGGTGACAACCATACTATGCTAAGTACAGGGAATCAGTGAACAAGGTATGTCTAATTTCTGTAGCTCTCAAGAGGCTCAGCACATAACTATGCACACAAGGAATTCTCAAAACTTGTTAAGCCACTGACACAGCTACATAATACAGAACTGAACTATCCAGAGTACAGAAAAAGAAAAGAAAAAGGTAGTGAAGGTCAAGAAATGGGCTTTCATTGTAAAAGAGGGCTGCTGGGAGAATGACATAAGGTCATGTAATACAAAGCCCCACACAACTGCCATCACAATGAGGAAAGAAATAAAAGATAAAAAAAGACTCAAATGGAACTCCACAGATGGAAAACACTGTCAGAGCTCCTGAGACCCTGAGCAGTCATGGGGGGACAATGAACAGCTCTGGCCAGACTGGGGTTCACTGTGGAGCTCTACTGCTCAACTGGGCAAAATTTAACATCAGAGAGGGTTCCTGAGAAAGAAGGGGAGAAGAGAAAGAAAGCAAGGAAAAGATACTTACAGGGACTCCTCTCTACCCGAACTGTTTGAAGAGTGGCATTTTTTCTGCAGTTAGGCTTGGGCTGGATGAGTAACCTGTCCCATATACCTGAAAGCACACACACAATTAATTTACTGCAGCATCAAGAAATGGGGGCCCTTCAGCAAACTTGCCACAACTGCTCTCAAGTCTTGAACATTCCACATTCCCCAACACATTTTTAGAAAAAGAGGCTCTCCAAGTTCCACGACAGTGTTTTACTTCTTTATGCACACACCGCCCTTTCTTTTCTTTTTTTAAGATTTTATTTATTTATTCATGAGAGACAGAGAGAGAGAGAGAGAGAGAGAGAGAGAGAGAGAGAGAGAGGCAGAGACACAGGCAGAGGGAGAAGCAGGCTCCATGCAGGGAGCCTGATGCAGGACTCGATCCTGGGTCTCTAGGGCTGCTCCCACCCCTCCTCTTTCTTAGGCCTGGCTCATACATCTGTATGTGACACCGATGCTGGGGAATACATGCAAACTAACCTGCACCTCTGTGGGTCAGAAATCCATCAGTGACCAATGAGTTTCTTCAACAAAGGGGCAGAGGAAGCAGTACAGAGTACAGTAATGGTTAAGTGAAGCCAGAAATGGTTACTGGCTCTGTTATACCGGACAAATTACTTAACCTCTTGGAGCATTCGTTAATTTATAAAGCACACCTGTCTTGCTAGTGGACCTTCATTAAAGATGTCCAACCTGGACAAATGAGCCCTTGGGAGAACTTCTGACCGTATCCCCCACCCCTGACCCCTGTGCACCTATTCAGGCGCATGACTCACTACTCCTCAAATTAACAAACTCTTCAGTCCATCAGAGCTCAGAGGACAGGATCTGTCTTTCAAAACTCAAGGTTTTTCTTTTAATATTTTATTTATTTATTGATGACACACAGAGAAAGGCAGAGACACTGGCAGAGGGAGAAGCAGGCTCCCTGTGGGAAGCCCAGTACCCCGGGAGCACGGCCAGAGCCAAAGGCAGACACTCAACCAACCACTGAACCACCCAGGTGCCCCAAAACTCTAGGCGTTGATCACCCTGTTTCTCCAACACCTGGAAAAACTTTTCACTCAAGTACAAAAGCCCTGTTCACCCCAAAGCAGAGCTTAACAAATATTCTTTGATCACCACTTTAGGTCTAGCAAATGGATGAGCCTAAAGAATCCAATCAGACTGACTGGATCCGAATCCCAATTTTGTCACTTTTCAGCCACATGATCTCCAGCAAGTTATTCATCTGTATGATGCACTGTGACTCGGTTTCCTCATCTATACAACAGAGATAACGGAACCTTCTGCACGGGGTTTTTGTGAGGATGAAACGAGTTCGTTAGATCCTGGGTCACGGTAAGCTCTACACAAGCTTTGGCATTCGGGATGCTCTGGGTCTTCTCCAAGCTAACATCCACGGAGGGCATGCCCCAGACCGTAGGCCCCTTCGCCTTCTCCACAGAAACGAACGAACAAAGCAAAACACCCAATCCAACAGGTAGAACTACCTCTATTTTCCAAATGCGGAAAGTGGAGCATCGAGAATGTAAACCGCTCTCTCTAGCTCCACAGCCATCAACCACGGAGCTGGGATTCGAATCCATGCTTCTGAACTCCCCACCACGTGGGGAAGTCCTAGGTGACTTCCTGGAGCCAGGGTCCCTCTACTAGCGAGGCGAGGCCCTCGGGGCCGCTGGCGTGGGCGCCGAGGGCGCCGGCGCGGGGTTAATCCCGAACAGTCTCCTGGACCCGCGCCGCCGCCCTGGGGCCCGCCCGGGGTCGCCGCCCCTCCCCGCTGAGCGGGCGCCCGCCGCCACGCGGAACCGAACCTGCATCCCGGGCCCCGCGCCCCGCCCCCGCCCCGGCGGGCCCCCGCCCTGCCCCCCGCGGCCCGGCCCCCGCCCCCCGGCCGCACGTGCGCACCCACGCCCCCGCCGCCGCCCCCGCCCCCGCCGTCACCTCCGCGGCCGCCGCTCCCGGCCGTCAGCAGCTCCTTGGACACCGGGCCCGCCGAGCGTCCCCGGGGGGACGACGAGCAGCTGGCGCCGGCCTGGGGCTCGCCGCGGACCTCCATTCCGCTCACTCGGCCTTGCGAGCCCGCCCCCCCAGGCCCGGATACCGGAAGGAGGGCGGGCGGGGGCGGGGCCAGGGCCGCGAGCGGGCGAGACGCGGCGGGGGCGGGGCGGGGGCGGGGCGGGGGCGGGGGCGGGGCGAGGGCGGCCGCGGCCACAGCGACACCTGGCGAATCTCCGAGGCCACCCCACCCTGGGGCCCTGGGGGGGAAACGAACGGTGGAGTTTCTGCGGCTCGGCGGCGGCGGGGTGGAAGAGCTGCCAACAATTTTAGCCAAAGGATCCGGACAACAGGGCACCCTGGGGCTGCGCCTCCTCCTCATTTTTTCTTATTCTTGGATTGTAGTGAAAAGAATACTCATAAAATTTACCATCTTAGCCATTTTTAAGAGTACATTTCAGAAGTGTTAGACTATTTTACATTGCTAGGTACCAGATCTCTAGAATTTTTTCACCTTGCAAAGCTGAAACTGCATCCATTAAGCAACCCTCCCTTATTGTTATAATAACCACTTACCGTTACATTACATCCAAGTTATAGAACCTATGGGAGAAATGTCAGTAGGTCCAAGTTATAGAACCTATGGGAGAAATGTCAGTAGGTCCAAGTTATAGAACCTATGGGAGAAATGTCAGTAGGCACCGCGAGCAAGACACCGATTAATGCGTCTTAGTAGCTGATTTCACTCTCTTTCTATTTAAAACCTACTCTGGAGATTCTTCAGAGAAGGGACAGCACCTTTTTTATTTGTATGCCAGCGCCTCCCTTGTAGTCAGGCACATCGTTAACGATTAATCCATGTTTAACTAATGAATGCACAGAGAAAAGTTGAACAAATTAGTAATTGTGAACTGTTTCATTGGTTGATGGATCACCCCTGTGAATCAGGATTGTAGCCTTCAGAAATGTCCTCAAATCTCTGTTGTAAATTGTTGACTAGATCAGAAGCACCCTGTAGCTACAATGTTGTACAAAACTAATCAACGTGGGATGCTTGGGTGGCTCAGCGGTTGAGTGTCTGTCTGCCTTCTGCTCTGGTGGTGATCCTGGAGTCCTCCAATCAGGCTCCCCGCAGGGAGTCTGCTTCTCCCTCTACCTAGGTCTCTGCCTCTCTCTCTTGGTGTCTCTCATGGATAAATAAATAAAATCTTAAAAAAAAAAACAACACCTAATCGAGCTATTTGTAACAATAACTCAAAAATTAAGACATTCATATCTAGCCAAGATAGAGTAGAAGATGCACTGGCAGACTGTCGTCTCCCCCCTAGAAATAATGTTGTTAACCAGAAAAGCAGTTCTATAAAATATGCAAATAAATGTAAAACATCGTTTTCCTCACTTTGAATCTTTTAAAAATAATCTTTTAGATTTTTTCAAAAATCGAAATTTTATTTATTCATAAATAAATGAATTATTTAACCACTCAAACACTGAGCCACCCAGACGTCCCAATCATTTCGATTTTTAAAAGTATTATAGGTTTATAATATATGTAGAAGTAAAATACATATGACAAGAATAGCACAGAAGGTGGAGGTAATAAATCTGTAGAGATATTACATTTTATGTGAAGTATTTTAATAGAATTTTAAAATAGTGATAAATTAAAGATGTATATTATAAATACTGGCGCAACTCCCCCAAAAAGGGGAAAAAAAACAATTAAAAAGAGGAATAGCTGATCAGCCAATAGTGGAGATAAAAACTGAGCTGTAAAGTATAATCAATTAATCTAGGGATGCCTGAGTGGCTCAGTGGCTCCTGGGACTGGAATCACGCCCACATCAGGCTCCTGTGGTTAAAGGTCAAGTGATGGAAAAGATAAACCATGCAAATATGAAACAAAATTCAAGCCAGAGTAGCTACAGTACTATCAGACAAAATAGATTTCAAAACAAAGAATATCACCAGTGTTACAGGCTGAATGCTCATATCCTCCCAAAATCTCTATGTTGAAGCCCTAACCCCTGGGTGCGGCTATGTTTGGAAATGGGGACTCTAAGGAAGTAATCATTACTAAATGAGGTTGTAAGTATAGGGTCCTGATCCAGTAGGAGTAGTGCTCTTATATAAAGAAACACCAGAGTCCTACTCTTTCTTTCCCCACACTCACACACACTAAGTATAGGCCATGTGAATACATGGTAAGAAGGCAGCCTTTTGCAAACCAAGGGGAGAGCTCTCATTAGACATCAGCCCTGCTGGAAACTTGATTTTGGATTTTCCAGTCTCCAGAACTGTGCAAAAATTCATTTTTCTTGTTTAAGCTACCCACTTTGTGGTATTTTGTCAGAACAACCTGAGCAGACTAAGGCACCAAGGATAAAGAGGAACATTTCATAATGATAAGGAGATAAATTCATCATGATAATGTAATGGTAATAACTGTGAATGAGTCTCATAACCAAGCTTTAAAGTAAAAAAGGAAAATCTAATAGAACTAGAGAACCAGACAATATTAATACTATTGTTGGAGATTTCAACACTCCTCCCTGAGTAATTGGTAGACCAAGTATACATAAAGAAGCCTTGAGCAAAACTATCAACCAACTTAACCTAACTGACATCCAGAACACTTCTTCACCTTGCAATAGCAGAATAAAAATTGCTTCAGCAGCAACAAAATAATAATAAGGTCGATCATATATATGTAAGGTCATAAAACAAGTGACAAAAAAATTTAAAAGATTGAATTCATCCAAAGTTTTTTTCTCTAATATCAACAAAACTAAAAACCTTATGTAAGTTATCAAAAGCCAACTAGAAATCAATAATAGAAATCTGGAAAATCTCTAAATATTTGGAAATTAAACAATTAAGTTCCAAATAATCCATGAGTTAAATAAAAAGTACAAAAGGAATTATAAAATATTTTGATCTGAATTTAAATAAATATAGAAAACATCAAAATGTATGCAATGTAGCTAGTGCAGTACAAGGAGGGAAGTTTATAACATTAAGTGCTTACATCTGAAAAGATATAAGGTCTCATTTATCTAAGCTTCCACATTATCTAGAAAAAAAAAGGAGCAAATTAAACTCAAAGCAAGCAGAATAAAGAAAGTAATAGAGTGGAAATCAATAACATAAAACATAAACACAATACAAAAGTCAATAAAACCAAAAGCTGATTATTTGTAAAAATCAATAAAATTGATAAACCTATATCCAAACTAATCAGAAAATAACCAGAAAAAAGACAGACTAATAATATCAGAAATGAAAGAGGAGCATTACCATAGATTTCACAGGCATCAAATAAATAAGGGAAACAGTCTGAGGAATTACGCCAATAAATGTTCAAATTTACATGAAATGGACAGATTCTGTGAAAAACACAATGTATTATCCTGCCAGTTTTTGATTTGACAAATGTACCATGGTATGTATAATAGTAACAAAGGGTGGAAAGTGGATAAAAGACATACGAGAATTCTCTGTGTTATCCTTGAGAATTTTCCATAAAGTTAAAATTATTGCAAATCAAGGAATTTATTTTAAGAGGAATTCAAGAAAATTATTCTACAATATGTGGATATCATTATACATACACATAGACTATACATTTCAAAAGACCATATCATTTACCTAGAAAAATCAGCCCAGACTAGTCACTACCAAAACATACTCTGGTAAAACTCTTGGACTTTAAATATAAGAAAAAAACTGTCCAACATATTTTGGCAAAAAGACCCAATAAGTCATGAGGAAAGAAAATAAAATTGGCATTTACGTTCAGACAGAAAGGTTTTTGCCAGAATGCAATTAAATAGCATATTTAAGATATTCAGAGAAAGAAAATTTAAGCTAAGGACTTAGCTTACCTGCTTTTCTTTTTTTAAAAAAAAAACTTATTTTATTTAAATTTAATTTGTTAACACATAGTGTAGCGTTAGTTTCAGATGTAGAGCTCAGTTATTCATCCATTGCATATAACACCCAAAGCTCATTTCATCATGTGTCCTCCTCAATGCCCATCATCTAGTTGCCTCACGCCCCTCCTCCCCTACAGCAACCCTCAGTTGGTTTCCTATACTTAAGAATCTCTTATGGTTTGTCTCCCCCTCTGATTTCATCCTATTTTATTTTTCCCTCCCTTCCCCTAAGATCCCGTTTTGTTTCTTAAATTCCGCATATGAGTAAAACCATTGTTTTTCTCTGATTGAGTTATCTTGCTGAGCATAATACACTCCAGTTCCATCCACATTGAAGATTTCATCCTTTCTGATGGCTGAGTAATATTTGATTTTAGATATAGACCACATCTTCTTTATCCATTCATCTGGTCTCTTTCCATAGTTTGGCTATTGTGGACATTGCTGCTATAAACATTGGGGTGCGGATCAGATCACAGCATCTGTGTCCTTTGGGTAAATACCCAGTCGTGCAATTTCTGGATTATAGCGTAGGTCTATTTTTAACTTTTTGAGAAACCTCCATGTTGTTTTCCAGAGTGGCTCTATCAGCTCGCATTCCCACCAACAGTGTAAGAGGGTTCCCTTTTCTCTGCATCCTCACCAACATTTGTTGTTTCCTGACACGTTAACTTTAGCTGACTGTTATGAGGTGGTATCTCACTGTGGTTTTGATTTGTATTTCCCTGGTGCCAAGAGTGATGTTGAGCATTTTTTCATGTTTTTATTGGCCATTGGTATGTCTTCTTTGGAGAAGATGACATGATACTTATGTGGAAAACCCAAAAGTCTCCACCCCAAAATTGCTAAATCTCATATAGGAATTTAGTAACATGGCAGGATATAAAATCAATGCACAGAGATCAGTGGCATTTCTATATACCAACAATGAGACTGAAGAAAAAGAAATTAAGGAGTTGATCCCATTTATAATTGCACCAAAAACCCATAAGATACCTAGGGATAAACCTAACCGAAGAGGTAAAGGATCTAAAAACTATAGAACACCCATGAAAGAAATCGAGGAAGACACAAAGAAGTGGAAAAATATTCCATGCTCATGGATTGGAAGAACAAATATTATTAAAATGTTTATGCTACCCAGAGCAATCTATATAGAT